GAAACAGAAATAAGGTGATATACTGCGCCATCTATAATATCGACAGCACCCCAAGATCAAATGTATTGGTATATCTGCGGTCATGTCAATACTCACAGTTTATTATGATAAATAGTCTCAGGTCAACTCAGGTGTGAGTTTGTCACTATTTTAAAACTTTCAGGGTGTTAAAACTTTGTGGATCCTATATTTACAGTCCTTATACAAAGACTACGAACCTGCATTGCTGTCTTTCTCTTCCTCATCATCATCATTACCAGGTTGTTATAACTTTTTTTTTTTTTTCTGAATTTTACTTCCTCCCTTGACCCTGAGCAGAGCCAAGGCCATCTTTTAAATTCCAGTGCATAATGAGTATATTTCTACCAACTGCTTTTAAAAATTACTATCTGGAGTCTGGAAAGATGGCTGTCTCAGTGGTTAATAGCACATACTGCTCTTATAAAGGACCTAACTTTGGTTTCAAGAACCCATGTTAGGCCACTCAATAACTTGCTTTTAAGTCCAGATCCAGAGGATCTGATGCCCTTTTCTAAACTGTGTGGGCAAATGTACAACTAGACCTTTATATGGGCACATGGGCACCACACACACAGAGACACATGCGCGCACGCACACACACACACACACACACACACACACACTTTAAAATTCTATATAATTAAAAATAAAATAAATCATTTTTAAAAATTGTTTCTCCCTTATGGGTTATATTGTCCTGTTTTTTTTCATATGTCTGCTATTTTTTTTTATTGGATATTGGATTATAAATTTTGAAATGGCCAGTGCTGGATATTGCCACACATAAAGAGTGCTAGACTTTGTTCTTAAAGGCATTTGACTTATTTTACAATTAACTTTCTACTTTAAGGTCTGCGTTCTAAGGGTCTATCTAGCACAGTCTCTAGGTCAAGGTTATTTAATCCATTATTAAAACATGGTTCATCCCAGGACAATTCTGTAGTCTTTTCTACTTTTCAGCTCTGCAATCTGAGCAAGTAATTTAAATTGCCGAGATCTCAGTGTTCTGACTAATACAAGAGGATGATGTTGAGTTTCTAGTGTGCTGGGAATTAGATGAGACAATGTGTCCAAAGCTCTGCCCACACAGAACCCTCAGTAAGTAATGACCACCACAAACACCACATTTAACAATGAGTTACGGATGGCTTTCCTTTTGAGGCTGGGAGCAAGGCAAGAACACCCATTGTGTCATTTATAGTCAAGTACTTCCAGTGCTCAAAGTCCCATCCAGAATAATTAAAACTGTAATCTACTGGCATAGACACACAGATCAATGGAACAAAATAAAATGGGCAATTTAAAAACTCAAGATTCGTGTGTGTGTGTGTGTGTGTGTGTGTGTGTGTGTGTGTGTGTAGAAATTGCTCTTTTAAAAATATTTTTATTTTTTCTTATGTTTTGATTTTCCACTCTTCTAGAGAGGCAGGGATGATCTGGAAAGAGCTGAAGAGGAATAAATGCCCAGAAGTAGAACTGTTGGAATATATGTGGCTGTACTTCTTTTTTTCTTTTAGGAAACTTCATACATTTTTCTGTAGAAATTGTACCAGTACACATTTCAACCAAGACTGAAAGAGATCCAACTTTACACACACACACACACCATTCTCTCTCTCTCTCTCTCTCGCTCATAAAAACAAACAGCGAAAATGAAAACAAACTACAAAATAAGGAAAAGAATGCCAAAAATGGAAACAAATTCACCCCCCCCCACACACACACCACGTTTTGTGTTGGCCAACTACTCCTTGGCATGGGACCTGTCCTACAGTGTGGTTGATATACCTAGAGAAGCTCCATTGATTATCAATTGCAGACATCACCTCTGCAGTGGCGGGGCCCTGTGTCTGCTCCCTCTCAGTGCCGGCACCCCATCTGGTTTGAAGCTTCGAATGTTCTGTGCATGCTGCCACAGTCTCTGTGAGTTCAGAAATGCATTAGTCCTTGTTGTGTCTGGAAAACTGTTTCCATGGAGTCATCCACCGCTGCTGGCTCTTAGAGTCTCTCTGTTTCCTCTTCCTTATAGATGTCTGAGCCTTGACAGGTGAGGGCATTTGGGACTGAGCACTCTGAAGTATCTCACCCTCTGCATATTGTCTAGCTGTGCCTCTCTGTGTTCGTTCTCATTCATATACTTTAAGGAGAAGCTTCTCTAACGAGGGTTGAATGAGGCATTGCTATATATTCTAGCAATATGTCATTAGGAGTCATTCTATTGCTATGTTCCTTTAGTAGAATAATTGTATTAGGTTTTCCTCCTTGGTCTATCCAGTCTCAGATTCTTGGCCAAGTTAGCAGTCTCAGGTATGGATTCCATCTTTTGGAATGGGCTTCAAATCCAAAAACAAACAACAACAACAACAAAAACAAAAGGTAGTGGCATTTGTGCCACTATTGCACAGTATATCTTGCAGGCAGGTGGCTATTATTGCAGGATAAAGGGTTTATAGCTGGGTAATATTGATACTTACCAAGATCAGGGTCTTGAAATGCATGCCTGTGTTTATCACCGCAATATTCATCATAGACAAAATAACAGAATACAAATGTTCATTAGTAAGTGACTGGATAATGAAAATATAACGGAACATTATTCAGGCTCAACAAAAAAAGAAGGAAATCTGGCAGTCTGGAACAACAATAACAGACGTGAAGGATGTGATGCTAAGTGAAATATACTGGCAACGGGAGGAGGAACACCACTTAGTTCTACTTACCTAAAGAACCGAAATAGTCAAACTCATTAGAGGCAAGGAAGATGTGTTGATGCTGCTAGGAACTTGAGGAGAGAAGAATGTGGATATTATCTTAGCAGACGCCATAAAAGTGTCTTTTATGCAGGACAGATCATTTCAATGGATATGTTATATACTGTGCCTATAATTAACAAATCTGTGCTAGCCTCTCACATTGGAAACTTTTACTGAAATAAAACACTTTCCATGAGTGTAGTGATATTTTATATTGTTTGCATCAACTCATTCAGCTTAAGAGTTCAGTGGAAGAAAAACTGAAGTGAAGACAATAATATCATCCATCATCCAAACATTCTGTCGGAGGAATTTTCTCTTCACCCCACTGACTGCACTTTGAGGGAACAGGAAGAAATGCTAAATGCCAACTCTGGCCTTTTTTGATATTTTCAAAGCTCTTCCAAAAAAATTTTCACATGTAGTTTAATCTTTTGCTCAAGGACTGATAATTGTTGGCTGGTGACTTTTATTCATTAATCGTAACGTGTACCACCATGTTCTTAGATAACTGACTAGTGACGTTTCTAAGTTCTTAAATGTTAATAACCTCCTTTGTCAGATACCGAAAGCTTCAGTTAATCGAAGACTAACACCTTCCAGTAATCAGCTGGATGGTGCTGTGGAAGTTTAATAAAAGAGGGAGTCCCCCTCTCACCTCTGAATCTAGTATATCCCAAAGCTTCGAATGTGCAGTGACTGAGAGGGGCAGCTGAGGTCCAGAACGAGATGGATCTGGAATCAGAAAACACCAGCTCTCTCTCTGCTGAGGGGGAAGCTTTTGTGTCCAGTTCTTACCACACACGGAGTCAATAAATGTTACTGTCCTTCCTTTCCCTTTCCCTTTCTAGTTTTTCTTTCTCTAGGATCCATTCTTCCATACAGATATTTCTCCTACATGATCCTAAATATAAATGATAATATAATATAGCTCTGCAACTGAAATCAGAATAAAAAAAGTAAGGTGATTTTGATTGTTTTTGTTGTTGTTTGTTTTGCTTTTGAGACAGGATCTCACCGTGTAGCCCGAGTTGACCTTGAACCTCCAATCCTCCTATCTCAGCCTCCTAAGGGTTTTTTTTTTTAATTACATTGTTTTACGTATTTAATGCGTGTCGAGGGCACACATATCATGTGTGTGTGGAAGTAATAGGGCAACATTTGCTTGTCTATTCTCTCCTGCTATTATGTATATCCTGGGGATTGAACCAAAGGTCATCAGGCTTTGAGGTGAGCTCCTTTTCTTACTCAGCCACCCTGCCAGCCTGGATCGTCATTGTTGGCCCTGCTCATCACCCGGTAGCCATGCTGCCTGTAATTTTCGTTTCCTCTTTTCCTCGTCGTCAGTATAGCTACAGAATAACTGGCTCTCTAAAACACGACATGGAGAAATATTCAAACTATTTCCAGATTGTCATGCTCTGCTTTGTAAATTCTCTAGGATATTATAATCTACCACTCGGAAAGACCTCTTGGAGGTCAGTTTGTCATATTTCCTCAGTTTAGAGATGAGAAAAGTAAAGTATAATAGAGGTGACTTAAAAAAAAAACCCACCCAGCTTGGCAATGTCAGCTCTAGGGCTCTTCCCTTCTAGTTCAGCTGGTGGGGAAGAATGTGTCCAGCCTTTGGTAGAGCTCATCAGAGACGTAGTTTTTCATTATTAAAGTGGGGTATGCAATTTGAACCTTCAGGGGAGCTTAGTGTGAAAATGTCTGGTTTCTCAGAAGGTTGATGCCAAGATGCCAGTTTTATCTCAAAACAATATCACCGTTTTTGTTGAAGAACTCTGTCAACTTTTCTAAATAATTTCAAGGAGAGAGAAAAAAAAATAGGCTTACTGTTTGGTGAGGGAAATCAGGTGGAAACTGGGAAATGTCCAAGTCAAGTTGGGGAGAGGAGAACAGGTGAGGAGCTCTCAGAGGAAACAGAAGGTATTTGTATATGGCAGAAATGTGGGTGCTGGGTGTGGTGTGAAAGGGTGTCAGCAGCCAGGAATCCTCAAAAAGGCCTTGAAACTCAAGAGAGAAAGGGTGTCTAATCCACGTCCCTAAACACATGAGGGTCTGCATGGCAGAACTCTCAGAAGGCATTGTTGTCAAGACTTTGAAACTGTGCAAATTCGTGCTTTTAAAAAAAGGTCAAATGATGTGGTAAAGGAATGGCAGACCTGAGATTCAAATCTGGGTCTTATAACCTCAAATCTAACAATCTTTCTTTCTGTGTAGCACCATTGAGGAAATGGCGAGTCACAAACTCTGTTCCCCTCTGGATCTCAGTTCCAATTTATTACCTTACTGAAGGTAAGTGCTGGCCAATTCCCCTCTGCCCTCATGTATGTATCCACGCTTACAACCACATGACTTTGCAATTTCTTCCTGTCAGCGAATGAGGTCTGTTTCTCTGCCTCTTGAACCTGCCCAGCCTGGTGATTTAACTCTTGATGCAGCACAGATGATGGCTGATCAGGATAAAGCTTAGTGACAAGAGCTCCTGCTTTCTCTGCTTTGCATTCCTTCCTTCCCCTTAAGGAAATGTCTGAGCTAGCCAACTGGGAGATGAGTACATTCAGTCGGCAGCAGCCTTCCAAAATCAGCCACCTCTTAACCAACCCATCAGCTAATGGAAGACTTATGAGCAGAGCCCAATACAACTGTCCGAGGATGGCTGGACCAGCAGAATGATGTTTTAAGCCATTGAACCAGCAGAATGATGTTTTAAGCCACAGAACATACCCAAACACCACAGGACAGTGCTCCCTGGGTACCCCAGGGACTGATTCCAGGCCCCTGCAGACACCAGAATCTACAGATGCTCATGACTCTTCCATCAGATGAGATGAACGAATCTTTCCACATGACTTAGATCACGTTCAGTCAACTACAACACCCAACTCAGTGCATATGATATATGAATAAGCTTTATTGAATATCCTAGAATAACAAGCAAGCCATCCGTACATGATCCACTGAAGATGCAGTTTTCCCCAGTAACCAATCTGTTTCTTTCCCTCCCTTTTTTTCCCCCCATTCCATTCCCCCTCCCTTTCTTCCTTTTTGGAAACAGGATCTCACTCTGTAGCCCAGACTGTCCTGGAACTCACTTCAAGCCCAGGTCATTTCAAACCAGTACTGATCTTCTTGCTTTGGCATCCTGGGTGCTGGGATTTCAGGGGTGAACCGCCTGGCCTGGTTCCAAATATTCCTGATCTGAGGTTGGTTAAATCCACAGATAGGAATGCGTGTGTATGGAAGAATGGCATACAGTACTGGAAATACATTGTGGCTCCCTCTGGCTCCCTGTAATGTGGCCTGGCTTCTGACAGAGTCAAAACAAAACAAAACAAAAAAGACCCTTCAGTAGAAAACAAAACTTAGCCCAGCCACGCCTTCATAAAATTAAGATTCAACAGATATCCAGGACAGATGAAGCCACTGGACACCAAATGATATGTGTGGCCAAGAATGCCTCATTGCTCTCATCTGGCTGCCTGCTTTATGGATAGATGTGGCACACACAGACTGGCAGAGCAGTGTACTGTCCTCCTGTCCTTGGTAACCCTCAAAAGCAAAGGACACGAGCAACATCTTCCTAGATCAGCACAAGGTAAGTTACGCTTTTGAGAGGTAGGATCAGGATAAGACACGATGGGTCAAAATACGATGTCTCTGGCCTCTGTCTTCACAAGCTCACTTCTTTCCTGAGCGTGGTCCTGGGTCACATCCCTGCCTTGGCAGAATCTGTTCCAGACAGCAGCTCATCTCTAGACGCTGCTGAGCTTGGAGTCTGGAGGGTCGGGTTTCCAGAAAGCCAGGCAAAACCATTTATGGTCTACATGAGTGTGGAAATTCCATATGGTTTCTGACTTATAAAAAGTAAAATAATATTTAAAAAAAAAAAAACCCTACTTCTCTATTTCAGGTTGTTTTCTTAAAGTACAACCTCTCCTGTGGTTATTCGCTCAAGAGAAGTATTTTTAAAGGTCTCCTTTGGAAATAAAAAAAAAACAAAAACGTTATTCAAGTTAGACGTTTGAGCTGTGTCAGCAAGTGTGTGCTGGGACTGTTTGCCAGCAGGCTGTGGGTCCTGAACAATTCCTTGGTGGCTGCTTGCCTGCCTTCAGACCTGACCCAGAAGGGAGATGGAGAAAGATTTGACAGTTTCATTTTACATGTTAATAATTTTTAAAATGTTTAACTAGGTTATAATAACCTTGGTTTTTATAAGTCAGGAATTAAGCCAATTATCCCCATCAACCCCTGCCTCACACCTTTAACTTTGAGATGCAATTGCTCTACAGATGAAAGGAAGGACTTGGGATTTCAACTGTCTGCAGGATGAGGGTAATGCCAGAAGGTTCTAAGAAGGTGTGTCATGGTAACAATAGTATCCTGGGCACTGCCCTGAACATAGAATATCCTTCATTATGTCAGAACCATTATACTTTGGAGTCCATTGTGTGATTTCTTTTTTGATGGCCTAATAGCCCCACCTTCACAGATAAAACATGCATAAAGGGTGATGGAGCAAGAGGTTAAGACACTGTCTTTCATTCCCACACCGATATTCCTTTAGCCTCCCTGGGCCTTCATGAACCACTTAGCATGTGGGGATGACAAACACAGCAAGGTTTTGTCGGGACTGAACGACTTGGGACTGGGTGTTCAGTTCAATGACCAGACCTGTAACGACAACAGTACAATGACAACAGAACGGCAGCGAGGGGGGGGCAGGGGTGTTCCAACAATTGTCCAGAGCACCCGTGCAGACTCCCTGGGCCCTTTTTTGCCCCTGCCTCCCTGCTCTTTCCCACCCGTTTTATGGAATGCTCCTTCGTCGATAGCAGCAGTGTGCCCAGGACACAGAATCCTCTCACATTGCGACTCATATGATTAGCTTTGCAGGTCCCACCATTCTTCCTTTTGACCTAGGACAGGCACCTCTGTTTTCAACCTTCCACTGACTGTACTGACTGATCAATCCTGCAAAAGTGGCATTTGCTCCTCTTTCCACGTTTTAACACATGCTTCCAACTCCTGGAAATCAAGGAGTGGAAACGAAGTTCGGAGGTTTGCACTGCCCACTGATCAGTGGGAAGATGCCTCAGGGAAAGAAGATTTCCGTATTCTTGGGTCTTGCACAGAGGGAGAGTAATTCTCAGATCCTCTTTTCACTGAAGGGAGTGTTTGACACTAGAAAACAGTCCCATTTGGATTTTCCTAAGCAGCTGCAGTAATGACAGCATTTCTGTGGACACTCGATAGTGAGGAAGTACATGAACCAGCAATCCACCACACTTCTCCTGGAGACAGGAGGATCAGTCACAACCAGGAACAACCTGAAAGGGGCATATTATCCACACACCCCCATCTGCTGCCCTGAAGAGACTATACCTCTTCCTAAACTCTGCTTTGTTGTTGTTGTTGTTGTTTTTGCTTGTTTCTTGGCCTACAGTAGGCAAGGAGAGTTAAATCGTTGTTTATCTTCTTCGGTTTTATCTTCTCCACATGCATCTCCCGCCCATGCCACTCCTGTATCACTTTGGGAAGGTAGGAGACCCTACCCTGTAAGGGCCAGCTCCCCCTAACTCTGGACGACCTTGTCTACTGTGTTTCATTTTAGTGTCTTTTGTAATGGACTTTGTAACAATGAGAGTACTGATTATTTGCTCAGGCAAACTTGCTCTCATTCCATATTTTTAAGTAGAAAATAAAATCCCTTTGGTTCCTCTTGGGTCCCATCAATCTGGTTATAGTTTGACTTCCAAGTTCATGAAAATCTTCCGTGACATTAAATTGCACTCTAGTGCACTATTTTTTACTTGACTAAATTGGCACTGCTTGGAAGAACAGTCTGACTGTTACAGTACTTCCTGCAGTAATTTTACCATTCATTTTACTGTAAAATAGGAAAGACCAGATTGTGTTCACAGTGACACTCAGCTAGCGCTTTAACTCCAATATACCTGCGCTCCTAAACTTCGTCCTCCTGTGTTAATGCTTTCCAATATTTGTTGTGAAAGGAAAAGTGGGAGTTGTTAAACTGCTGCTTATAATCCAAGGACATGGTAGTGACTTAACCTTTCTTCTGAATTTCACTTAAACCAAAGTCTCACTGGACTCTCTATCAAAGTCCAAAGAAATTTAGGAAGCACCTTTTAAAAATATTATTATTTAACAATTTCTCAATGCTGTAGCTTAGGCTTGCCAAAGAATATCTTGAACGTGAGTGCAACCTACAGCCTGATTTTAAAAACAAAGACAGTGGAATCCTGCCTCCCTCCTCGTGTGTGTGTGTGTGTGTGTGTGTGTGTGTGTGTTCATGTTTATATTTTCTGAGGCTTTCTTCACTTTACAGCAGTGAAGCAAATGAATAAGGAACTAAGGAAGCGGATGCATTCATAGTGTTCACATATTTGACGGTGCCAACTACAAAGAGAGTTTTACTACTGCTGACTCTCAGAAGAAGACACAGAACACTTCTCTCTCTACATTGGTAGTTCTTGTCCTGATGTAGCTCTATCACTCCTTCATGGAAGCTTTCTCTTGTCACCACACACACACGTGAAATATAGGCACCAACTATAATTTTGCTGTAAATGTCAAGCTACGATCCTGGGAAATGCAGTAATCCCAGCTGACCCTCTGTAACTTCCAGTGTGTATAAAGGTCATCATGTAGCTGTGGCTTCACCATTGGGACATACGGAGCCCACCTCTAAAAATTACATTCAGAAATATGCAGCGTGCTTGAAATGTCTCCCCTAGATTCATAAACATGCTTCAGATTCTTGAGCTGATTGACCATGCTTTCTTTAAAAAAGAAAGTCTAAAGGACTGGGTGTCTTAGATAAAAGCAGCTGTTTACAAACCACATAAGAATGTGGTAGCCTAGGTCAGGCAGTGTAGCCAAGGTTCAACAGGTCCAGATGAGAGAAAGAATAGTAAGTACCCTCTCTCTCCTCTCTCTGCTCATTCTCACTCCTTCTTCCTCTCTGCCTCCTCTGCTTTTTTGTTCCCATTTCCTCTAAGTTCAAGGCTCACTTTTCTTTGCTCCAGCAAACAGTCAGTAGTTGCCAGAACACAGACTCAGCATGACCTCCCAGACTGACCACCTAGTTACAGCCTCCTCCCCTTTTCCTCTTTGTTTGTTTGTTTGAGACAGGGTTTCTCTGTGTAGCCCTGGCTGTCCTGGAACTCAGAGATGCACCTGTCTCTGCCTCCCAGGTGCTGGGATTGAAGGCCTGGTATGTCTCTTAAAGCACGACCTGCCCCATGTCTTGTGGAAGTACTTTTTGAAAACGGACAGAATCCCAACATGTGAAACTGGATTCTTCAATTATGAAACATATTCTCATGATTCCTACGCTTCTAAAGTTTAAGAGATCACACAATAATTGGAATTTATACACTAATTCCAGCAAGAGAAGGAAAGGGGTGGGTGTTGGGGCAGAGGACAGAGACTCTGATTGGCCTCGCTGAACACATGCTATTCATCAGAGCCAACAGAGAACTGAGTTACAGGGTATATGGAACCCCAGGGACCACATCTAGAATAGAACACCATCCTAGTTTTAGCTGCTATGACATACCTGAGAAGCTAGAGCATGCGTCTGGGGAAACACAGAAACACAGGAAGATGAATACAACTACTGCTGCCTCCATCTTTCACATCTCTCTGGTATGTTGGTCGGCAGAACTTAACTCACAGGAAGTCCAGGAGATACAGTTACAGCATTCAACCTCTCCAGCTGCAAAGAAAGGTAGAATGAGAGTGGTTTGATTGAATTTATAGTATCTCCTACACAGTATTTTAAAATGCAAAGAGCTTTATTGATTCTAAGAGAATTTCAGATACGTATACAATGTATTTTGATTAAATTTCCCTCAAGTTGGTATCAAAACATATGCTGAGATTCATAGCCAAACTTTGGGCAGAGTTCAGGGAACGTTATGAAAGAAAGGGGAGAGAGAAAGACCTGGAGAGAACAGGAGCTCCACAAGGAGACCAACAGAACCAAAAAATCTGGGCACAGGCATCTTTTGTGAGTCTGATACTCCAAACAAGGACCATTCGTAGAGATAACTTAGAACCTCTGCACAGAAGTAGCCCATGGCAGCTCAGTGTCCAAGATGGTTCCCCAATAATAGGATCAGGGACCATCTCTGACATGAACTCATGGGCTGGCTCTTTGATCACCTCCACCTGAGGGGGGTGCAGCCATACCAGTTCACAGGTAGACAAAGATGCCAGTCCTGATGAGACCTGAGAGACTAGGGTTAGATGGAAGGGGAGGAGGACCTCCCCTATCATTGGACTGAGGGAAGGGCATAGGAGAAGAAAAGGGAAGGAGGGTGAGGTTGGGAGGGGATGGGGGAAGGTTACAGCTGGGATACAAAGTGAATAAACTGTAATTAATAAAAATAAAATTAAAATTAAAAAATATTAAAAAAATTTTCCTCAGTCCTCCACCTAATTCCTCCCAGGAATTACCACCACCCCTAATTTTATTCTTTCTTCCCTTTCCCTCCCTCCTTCCTTCCCTCCCCCTCCTTTTCTTTTTTTCTGCCTGTCTCTTCTTTCTATCTCCCCCCTTCCAACTCCCACCATCTCCTTTAATAATCCACTGAGTCTAGAGTGATGTGGAACCATCCCCCTGAGCATGGTTAACCTCACAAAGGCTGTACCCTTAAAGAAAAGGGATTCCTGCCCCCTTTCCCCATGCAGCCATCAACTATCCATGGCCCCTTAGTGAGGGGTGGGGGTCCAGGAGCCCTGTTTCATGTTAGAATGTTGGCTGACTTGGTCTTGTGCAGGCATGACACAGTCAGCCACAGCTGCTGTGAGTTCATGTGGGTATCAGTTCTGATGTCTGCAAGAGGGTCCTCCCTGGTCTCTGGTTCTCACAGTCTTTCCACCCCTTCCTCCCTAATGTTTCCTGACCCTCAATGGGGGAAGAGGACACACAGGAGTCTTTATCATTGCTATGCTTATATAGCATTATCCAGAAGGATCAACTCACTGCTTAATTTTAGGTTTTCCTCTCTTTAGAAAAGGAGGGAGATATATCATCATTAAAAACACTCTGCTATCTTAGTTGAACACAAACCCTATTACACTTCAGTGTTGTTAGATTTAAGACACAATCCAAATATTATGCAGGAACCTTCCAGCCCCAGATACCCAAGTGCAATGGATTCAAATCTTGCTCTAGACATCACGACCTATGCAAGCCTCGTGCCTGTCCCCATTTTGTGAATCCAGTGTGGACTTACATCCCTAAGGGCGACTTGAAGTCGTACTTTGACTTCCAAATATACAGGTAGACCTCCTTCCCATCAGAACTTCAACTCCCACCTGGTTACCACACATTCCATTAATAAAACTCCAGCAGGTCCATAGCCGTGAGTGAGGCTAACAGTACTTCACTGTAAACAGCCCTTAACAATAGGCTTGCTAGTCACAAAAAGGTCCTCTGGCCACCCAACTCCTGTGAATTTTAATTTTCTATTTTCTGGTTTCTAACAAACGTTGTCCTGGAAACGGGATGGGAAATCTGTCTTACCTTACCAGAATGGTTTCATTTTCATCAATGGGTATAAATGTATTTGTCTGTAAGCAATAGAAGAAATCAAATTATGATGATGGGAGCAAATAAGGAATTATTTTTCTGACATAACAAGATGTAGGAAGGTAGCCCAGAGCTAATATACATCTTCAATTAGGTCCATGGTCCCAGTGTCTTTCTGCTCCTTCTTTTTCCCCTGGGGTGATACTCTACGTATGTTTCCATGACTATGAAATGCCTGGTCTACTTGCAAGCCTCAGTCATTTCCTAAGTGATTCTAAGATGTTGAGTCTAATTCCCACCTTCATATTGAGCATCCAGGGCTAGAGAGCTCTTATTTTCCCTTAAAATCTAAGTTCCTAACCCGGAGCAACACCCAGGCATGCTCTGGGCTTTGTTCCTTAGCATAGGCAGAGGAAGGAGGGATCCTTCATGAATTTCCTACTTTTGCATAGTTCTGTGGCAGTATAAAGGTTGGCGCATCAGCCCGGGAAATATATTCACAACATTAAGTTACAAGATAGGCTGGGCTCTATTTTTAGACTCGGTTTTTATAGCCGAGACATCATGCCACGATACAGCCATTGCCTGCATTACAAACTGAGTGTAAAACAGCTGAAGGGAAGTTCATTAAGTAAGAAAAGAGCTCCTGTGTTTGCTTGTGTGACTAAGTTGCCTCCTGCAGAGCTCCAAGGAGTAGCACCCCATGCTAGGCATGGCGGAGTGTTTCCACCGAACTCGGATAGTGTTCCCTTCTCATATTCCTGCTGAAGTGTTTCATCCTTAGTCTTCCTTCTTCTCGCCCTTGCAGACTTCTCTTGGTTTAGTTAGTTAGACTTCCAGTCCCCTCATGAGTTCGCCTTATCAAAGCAAGGGAAGGCTCATTGATGAAGCGTCGCCTGAAACACAGGCAAACTAAACATTACCTCATCTAGGCCTTTAGATTTGGGGTTTCCCCATTGTGCTATAAAGTTGAGAGGTTTTTTTTTTTTTTTTTTTTTTCCCAGAAAAGGAAATTGGCATTGACGAGTAAGGAAAGAGGTGGAAAGGCTAGGCAGAGAGGCCCTTAGAACAAGAGCGAGGCCTCTTCCATCCAACCCTGACTATGAAAAAATCAATTTGGTTCTTTCAGGGACTTGCAAAGGAGAAGCGCAGGAAATATCACTCTCTGCTTTCTTCTCTTCTGCACCCTACATCCCCCACACAGCCCCTGAGCACTGACTGGCCCATTGTCTCCGCAGGCTGTGTCCCTTTATCTGCAGTATCAAGTGAGAGCTGTGATCCCTCCCTCTGATCCCGGTCTGTGTCAGCAACGCTGAAATAGACAAGAGGCGATGCCCGCGCCTGTCAGTCTCTGTGCCAAGAGCATGCCCCAGTTCTGCACAGACATGGAGCGCAGCACAGTTTCACCAAAGCTGCCTGGGGTCAGATCCCATCAGAAGGACTTGAGGTGCAGAGTTCTGGGCTTCAATAGTTTCAGCCTATAGGAATTTTATGTACCCTGCTTTTTCCAAGCACACAAATGCACTTATCACCTCGGTTTTACAGATGAAGACATGAGAGATCTAGAGTTAAGGCAACTGTCCACAAGCCTCTGTGAACTGGAGCTGCTTCATAACCTTTCCCTTCGCCTCTAACTAGTCCTGTACTGCATTGCTGAGGACCCCTAGATGTAAAGATTAATCGATTGTGTATTCCAATTCCCCTCATGCAGGTCAAAACCTACAGTGTGTATATCAACATTTCTGTCAGACTGTGACTGTTTGTCACTTATCTTGATTTTTTTTTTTTTTTTTTTGGTCTATGCATAGGGATGACAGTACTATGTTTATAAGGTTATGGTGGGGTTTAAATGAATTACTGTATGGAATGGCCAAATTAACTTAGAGGGTTGAGAATAGAGTTAAAACTGCTCAGTTCTTAGGCTGTGAAACTTGTTAAAATAACAGAGTCTCAATTATTTGTGTGATAGCTGGGTTAAGGGAGAAACTGAGAAACACAGTTTTATAAGAATAACCACAACACAGTTTTCTTAAACTGGGCACCTGGCAGGAAGTCCAGCCCTATTCTCTCCCTGCTCAGCGAATGACTGTAAGCTGTTTTATTGGCATATCAGGGAGCAATTGGGGATGAGTGCTTACACAACCTCGAGACAGGAGATTCTCAGAACAAGGATTGCAACCGGATATGGGGGGGGGGGGCAGAAATCAGCATAATAATGTTATACCTATAAAAAACAGTTTTGTGCAGTGTTTCATCTTAACCCAACTAAACTGCTAGGCACTTGCATCTTGAAGTCTTTTGCAGGCAGCCTGAGCTTCTGGCTGATGCAGTGTGAGTGAAAGCAAAGTGTCTCACCTCTAGGCCTAACTTTAAACAGCCTTTCAAACGTCCTCTCTCCCCTCCCCCCATCCTTTCTTACTTCTAGTTTATGTAGGTAAAAATGATGCCTTGGATAACGCCAAAGGAAGTGTGTTGAAGATGATAAAGCTGTCACCAACCTCTCTGTCACTCTTGAAGAGACGTGCGCTGTCAATGAAGAGAAAACATTTGGGGTACAGTCATTGTAGGAAGATAGCACTCCAATTAGTATATAATCTTCAAATCATGCACATAAGGCTGATCCCATTTATATTCACTCTAACAGGGAAAAAGCAAGGTCCGCATAAGGGCTTTACCATCCCAGGTTGTGCTAACGCAAACCCCAGTCACTCAGTCCATTCCTGCAGGGGCTGCAAATATTCACACATGCTCCGAGGTGAGCTTTAGTGAAGAAATTCTCATCCCATTTTTATACACTGGACAATGACCTAGAACGATAGTTGTTTCTGAAACAGTCTGAATCCAACAGGAAGTCACGTGCTGTATTGATGTTACTGTGACAGAATGTATTTATTTGCCACTTCCTGATTTTCTAAAGGACAGATATTTTAACTTCTGTGGACATCATCTCTCCAATCTGAATTATTAAAACAGCACCAAAAAAAAAAAAAAAAAAAAAAAAAAAAGGCCAGGTGTGGTGGTGCACACTTTTAATCCCAGCACTTGGGAGTCAGAGGCAAGCGGATCGCTCAGTTTGTAGCCTGGTCTATAGAGCAAGTTCCAGGACAGCCAGGACTACACAGAGAACCCTGTCTTGAACAACCAAAAATAAATTTAAAAAAAATTCACAGGATGGAGAGATGGTTCAGCAATTAAGAGCACTTGCAGCTCTTTCAGAGGACCAGTTTGATTTCTAGCACCTGCATGGTGGCTAACAACCATCGGTCTCAGGGGATCTATGCCTTCTTCTGAACAACTTGACCATCACACACACATGGTGCAAAGGCATACATGCGAGCCAAACACCCATACACATAGAATAAAAATGAAAGAAATTGAAAAGATAATAAATTAACCTCCAGGCATTGCTACATACGCCTGTAGCCTCAGTCTCTAGGAAGTAGAGCCGAAGGATCAGGAATTCGGTGTTAACACAGAGTCTCCTAACACAGTGAGGAGATCCCACTTTAAAGGAATGTTTATATGCTCCCGTTTACGCCCAAGATGGCTGTGAGAACGGTTATTTGGGTTGTGTTTCCATTTCCCTTTCTCAAAATGCAATGCCTTTCATATGGTGATGTTCTCTGCTGGGGGTATAAAAGCCTTCAGAAAGCAGAGTGGAACATTAAATAATATTTTTAATATTAAAAAAAAATATACGTTTAGTGGAGTACCTTGCAACTAGTAAGCGCTCAGTAAAATTGTAATCTTCTTCAGGCAAGTGTGATGCTTGGAAACTACCTGTGTGGTGGCACGTGTGTTCTGGGTTCTCTTTCCCTGATTTTATCCACTGGGATGCGAGTTACCATACTATTGGCATACGTCATAAAGCATCACGCTCTGGGATTTTAGAAAGAGGTAATCTGGGCTGCAGCCATGTTCTGGTCAGAGAAAATAAGGCCAGTTGATGGTGTTTAAAAAAAAAAAAACAAAGCTCTTTGCGTTGCTTGGCAACTGGAGTTGGGGAGTGAGCCGAATGTGTAAGTACTGGGGAAGAGAAAGGCACAGAGGTGTACACATATATTATAAAAATAAATGTAACATCCAGATCCGTCCCAGGCGGGTGAGAAAAGCCCTGGCAGTTATAGAATTAGTTGGTCACATAACAGGGAAATTTAATGAAATACTTTGAGGTTCGGCCATTATTCATTTTAGGTATGTCATTATAATTCAAGGACGACGGAAAGTGTTTTAAGTATCTGTTGGAAGGGAAATCCATGGTTTGGAGACTGCGCCGGAGAGCCGTCGCCCTGTGCGGACGTTACCGCCACCGTGTGGACAGTGCTGGAACCTGTGGGGACCAGGAGGTGGCCCGGCTACGGATCCTGTGTTCTTCGGAAAGATTTACTCAATTTACCCCTAAGAGCAAGTTTGAAAAGTTCCCGTAAGGAAGACACTCCCCTGCGGTTTGCGAATATTAACACTCACAAAGGTTAAGATAAAACCACGTTGCTCTTTCCTGTACACACAATACAGTGCAATGCAAATAGAACAGTGACTCGGTACACATCGGCCTTTTTAAAAGCCACCGCGTGTGGTTTTTTTTTTTTCACATGAGTAATTTTCACACATCTCTCTTCCTTGGCGCATGTGCAGACCTCAGTTCCCCAACAGACTACATCCTCGTGTTCTATACAGAGATGTTTCAAATGCCTCATGCTATACACACAATGTCGTGTTTGTAAAAATCCATGCAATACGTTTCTCTAACAAAATAAGCAAACTGATTAAATTTAAGTTTTACCTTTGATAATGAGGCTTTAGCTATGTACCTGTTTATTAATCATTAAAAACTCAAATATATTTAAAATGTTGATCAGTAAACATTCAAATGTTGTAGTTTGAGGTTTTACTCTCTTTCCCTGCCCATGACCTGTGCTTGTTACTGTCACATGGCAGAGACCAGCATGGAAGCCTTTCAAAGTTATTATGTTTCCTATGTGCAAGGTGAAAGCAGTATCAATTCCAGAAGAAAAAAAAGTAATAGGAATGGAAGAAATAGGCAATGTTAACCCAGTTTCAAAATGATTTTTTAGTTCCCTACTCCAAAGGACTTTGTACTTTTAATAATTTTCCCTTTTCCGTCAGTGGACAGCAAGGTTGGGTCCTAATTCAAGGTGTTGACAGCAAAATAATTAGAGCCCCCGGGGCCTGGGAGAGTATTTGATTCTCCTCTGTGGATTAACTGACCAGTTCTCAGCACAGTGGCCCCACAATCACCCCTTCGACTGGGGCTCCCGTGGTCCCCACACTCATCACTTTCCAGAGCACTTGAGACAGTCTGTGCTTTTGTGGTGGGAGAAAGGACTTAGACAGGGAGGACGGGGAGGCAGAGAACAGCTCACCAGAGATTAACGAGGCAAACAGATTTCAGAAAGGAATGCAAACGGAACTCGAGGATAGAAAGAAAATGCTTTGTATGTTAGCACTTCTTTCAAAAGCGTGCTCATACCAGGCAGTCACTGCTTTACTTGCGGAGCCAGACTGTACTGAAGCTCTCCAGAAGGTGGTAGGGGCGATATGAAGTTTCCAAACTTGGGGCTGAGAAGATGGTGCAGTTGTCATGGGAGTGTGAGGTCCTGAGTTTGAATCCCCAGCACTCGCTACATGGCCACACCTGCTGTAACTTCAGTGTTGTGGTGGCAGAAGGTTCCCTGGAGTGTGGGTGACAGCCAGCCTAGCTCCAAGTTCAGCCAGAAAGCCTTGCTCAGGGGAATGAGGTGGTAAGCGGCAGAGGAGGACATCAGACGTCCTACTCTAACCTCATCACACACAGGCACAAGCAGCCACAGGAGTCTAACCGCACCACTCGCACACAAGTGCACACAAACACACTTTTAACGTGGAATTTACCGAGTTCTTTACTTTTACTGCCTTATAAATTAAAAAAGAAAGTATTGGGAGATTCATAGTCATGCTATGAGAACACTTCGACTTTCTAAAAACAAAAACAAAAACAAAAAAACAACACAGCAATTGGGCTATGTTGGAGGCTGTGGTTCCTATTACACTTTGAAATCGTGTCAGCCAGCCTAGCCATAAATTAGACATAGCAGGCAACCCCCATGCTCAGAAGCTTGAAAATACGCGTTCCGTCTGCATGCTCCCTCCAGGGTGGCCTGGCCATGGACTTGTTTGTTGTTCCAGACCCCACATGGCCAAATGACCCTGAGCCGAGACGGCTGGTTTCTGGGCTAAGGGTGAAAAACAGACACAAGAAGCCAGGAGCGCTATCTCCAAACCTCTGCTCCAAGGGAACACGCATCACTTCCTCCCATATTTCTGGGGAACAAGCATGTTGTGGCCGCACAGAGCTCTGCGTCTGAGGGTGGACAAACTTCCTGTGGGAAGCTGCAGCAGATACGTGAGCCAACCTGATAAACACCATTCCAGGCAAAGCGCAGAGGTAGGTGCCTCCTATTGCACAGTCAACGAATGGGTATCAGGCTCTAAAACCTTATGCTAAAGAGTGTAATATTTACAATGCGTTTCATCTTACAGGAGAGTACAGATGCAAGTAGCTGCCTATGGCAGAATGACAGCTGCCATTCATCACAGTGACCTCAGAAACAGGGAATGTCAGATGCCTGAAGACCCCTTGGAAGCCTCCTCCGCCTGAAAGCTCTTCCTGTCTGGAATAACCCACTGTTGCCAGCATCTTTGTGTGAATGAGTGTGAGTGTGCTGTGTCTTTTTACATATTTGTGCAGAAGTGCTTTAAATTTGAAATGCTCTAAGATCTAATCTTTGTATCGTTTCCACTCATTAGGTATTTTCAGATGTGTCCACATCGCTGTGTATAAACCTAGGCATTTCATTTATTCATCAACATATAAACCTAGGCATTTCATTTATTCATCAACGGTGCATTATATGGATAGATCCAATTTATCTATGTTGTCTAGACTTTCAATTTCGTTTCCAGGGGTTTACAGTAAACATCTTTACATATTAGTCTGTGTGTGCTTCTCTGAGATGTATGCCCTTGAAATGACCGGCTCCTGACCAAAACAAAAACAAAAACAAAAAAAACAACCTTCTAGGTTGAAAAAGCCACTTTGCTTCTGCGCACCAAGTTGAAGTTTTATTGATGGCCGCCCGAAAGGGCAGACATTGCAGGACATGGAGTCAGGGGTCTTCTTTCCTGAAATCATTTTTTGTGGCTAAAACAAACCAAAAACCAACCAAACAAAAAAACCAGAGGCAGATTCACAAGCCTTAGATCCCTGGGCTGTGTGTAGAGCAGTTGTTTCCTCAGGGGATGGCAGCGTTGGTGAAGGTGACCGGGAGACAGAAAGCCTGGGGAAGCCCTTAGGTCAGGATAAAGAAGGACCAGGGATATTCTGTAGAGTTGGCCATGTAATCCGAGACATTCACAGTGATGTCAAAAGGGACAACGGAGACCAAAGAGCAAAAGGGACCGTGTATGTTGGTGGATGGTGATTTGTAAGGGTAGAGACTGACAGCCTGCTTGTCCTTTCTCCTGGTTTGATGTCCTGTAACCTTGGGAAAGGGAACAGGGAGAGGGTGAGATCACTTGCCGGTCAGCACCGAGTTCCTGCAATTTCCATTTTAACTGAGCCTGAATTTTGTTCAGGGATCCATCTCCCTTTATAGAACCCATATGCTGCTGCCCCATGAATAGTTTTACTCAATAGAAAAGATAATCTTGTCTAGACATAACTCATCCAAAGCGAGTGCTGTTTCAGTCAGCTATTCATTCCTGTAATAAATACTGGAGGTAGACAACTTCTAAATGCAAAATGGTTGAGCTCGTAGTTTTATGGATTCAAAGGCCTGCCAGGCACACACATTGGCACACTTTTGGTGAGGGCAGCAGTGATGGAAAAGGTTGAAGGAAAAGGTCACAGTGCAAGCTGTAGGGTAGAGGGAGAAAAGTGGTAGCCAGGGTCTTACTGCTCCTTCAAAGGCATATTTTCCAACGACACAAGGCTCTCACTCCAGGTGATACCTTCCAAAGATGGCTCCACGTGCCAATGGTGATGCCCTTGGCATCAAGGTGTTAACACACGGACCTTGGGGGAAAACTATGTGTGTTTTTAATTTCATTTTGTTTTTAATTCTCCCTCGAACCTCTCCCAGGCCTTCTCCCTTTCAAAGCCACGGCCTTTTTCTTTCATTACTATTGTTATATAATGATATAATATACAAACACAAGCATTTAGTATTGCTTCTCCGTATGTTTTAGGGCTGACCGCTTGGCACTGGATCTACAATTAGGGGACTTATCCCTGGGAAGACTGAGCCTTAACTGCCTGTAGCTCTTCATCTCAGAGTGGGGTCCTGTGAAAGGGGGACCTATAATAAACTATAGAAGATGCGTACGCCAGTCTGGACTTATAAGGAGGAGGAGAGACTTCCTAAGGATCCCAGAGTGGATGAAGTTGCAAACAGTTTCATTTACTCTTCAGTTGAATTTGACTTGTGTGGGGCTGTGACTTTTGCAGCCTGTGAGAAAAACTGAAGGGAGCAGGGCAGGCCTGAAGGAATCACCACAGCCTGGCTCTTCCTGCCTCTGGCCTTCAGTGATGGGCTAGGGCTCTTACTGTTAAAGTCTGTTTAAGTTACGTTTTAAAAGCCTTGCCACTCAGTCTCCCACTTGCTTCTGTGGCGGCGGAGAGTGCGTGTCGAGCAAGGACTGCATTGGCTAAGATCCTCAACTAACAAGTCTTCACATAAAATGAGGGTTTAAAATACAAAATTAATTCCAGTCAGAGAGTTTGTGATACGCAGGCATGTCAGCATCATCATGGCATGGTTAGGCGTTGCCAATTCTTCAGTAACATGGTTCAAACTTCAGTTATGGTGGTAAGCTGTATCAACTCCACGGAACCGACTGAAGCCCGATTTTGCTGTTTTGCCCACAGATCACTATGTAAAAACAGATGTCTAGCATGATCATTGACCACTTTGCTACCCTGCTCCTTTCAAAACTTTTTTTTTCTTTGTTTAAAGGCGTTCGTTCCCTGCCACGTGGGTCGCTTCCACTGTAAGCAGGGCAGCCATAGCGTCCCTTCTGTCTGCCAGTCTTGCATGAGCGGAGCTGTCAAAACCACATCAAGTACCTGGCAGCAGCGGAGTCTCGGAAATGTGGTCGCCAGGTTTTCAATCCCTGGGAGAACTGGAGGGGGTGTAGAAATGACAGTCGGTAGAGGGTAACTCGCATGGCTGGCAAGGCAAGCTGGAAGCAGCGAGAGGCTAGAAAGCGTGTGCCAGCAAGTTACAGAATGCTGTCCAGGATGCCACTGCAAGTTAAAGACAGAGCCACCATAACCAAATCCATCTTATAAGCATCAGCGAAACAGTGTAACCCATTCTTCTGAAATAAAATGAAAACACCCTGTGACATAATTTTAGGTAACTGTCATGTTACTGAAGCCATGCTACGAAATGGCTATTATTGTTTTTGATAACTTTTATGGCAATTTTCTATTACCCCAGGGTTTTTGGAGATATGCCTTTGAGACAGTTGTAGTGCACACAGATATGTCATGCATGGCCTCTGCCCCTAGGAACCTAAGCGCTAAGTTAGTTTTAGAGGGCTTGGAGGATTAATTCACGTCTTCTTAGAGTAGCTTCTTATAAAAGGCTGTGAAAATATTTTTATAAAGTGAAGAGTACTTCCTGACTTATGTCTATAATTTTGTAGTGAAGAGGGAACCGTGCAGCTAGGGAAATGGCTCAGTGGGTCAAGTGCATGGTATGAAAGCATGAGGACCAGAGTTCAATTCCCGGCACCCACATAAAAGCTGGATATGGCAGTGTGCATCCACAACTCCAGAGATGGCAGAGACAGATGGACCTGGGGGCCTGCTGAGAAACCCCCTTCAGAAGAAGATGGCAAAGTGATAGAGGAAGCCGCCAGGGGTTAACCTCTGCCCCCACATTTTATATAGGCACACATACCTTTGAGAGGACACACCTCTGACCCCGAACAAACTGCTTAACTTTACCAGTGCTTCCCACTTCTCATTCTTAATCCACTAACACCCAGAGCTCTTCAGAGCACTTGTCTCCAAGAGCCTGTTAAATGAGAGGTGACATATAACAATGGAGTTACATGTGGCAGAATGGGAGCCATTTTAGTTTTGGGGATGATCTCCTAAATCTGGAAGCATCCAGGCCGGAAACAAGACAGAATCCATTCCGCCCTAACACACAAACAAATTAATCACCAGAGCTACTTTTGTTACGTGTGAAACAGTAAGTGCTTTAGTGGTCATCTAGTGACAAGGACATCCAGCACAACGGAAGGATGCTGTAACAGTCTGACTGGAACACCAGTCACAACAAATGTGGCATTTCAGAGACCAGAGGCTGTGGGAGGAACAATGGCTGGAGGGAAATGCACTGCCTGTGTCAGAGGATCAGGGTCAAGGCAGCCCTGGGTGGGCCAACTCAAGCACCACGGAGCACACCCTCCGAGTCTAGAGTCGGGTGGAATCCCAGCTAATGGTGAAAGGCTTTGGAACAGATGAAAACGAGCACGTGGTAGATCAAAGGTGCTTGCCACCAAGACTGACCAACTGATTTCATCCCTGGGACCCAAAATTTAGGGGAGAACGGACTCCTACAAGTTGTCTCCTGACCTCCGTGTGCCACGACATACAACCCTCAGCGTAAGCATGCACGCACACACAAAATGAAAATGTTTTAAAAACACAGCATCTTACTAAATGCATTTATTCTCATTGCTACTTCATAAAGCTTAGTATTTTTCTAAGAGGAGAAATGATTGGTTTACATGTAGTAGAGTTACAAGTGAAAGGCCACGTCAGATAGCCACGAGGAAAGAGTAGAGCCCCGAACCACAAAAACCAAGCAGTAAACAGCATTATAATCAAAACCTACACAGACCCAGCAGTGCAATAAGATAAGCAGAAAGCAGCTTTACACTTAAGTTCCTTAAATACAGAAATAGCACCTTACATTGAGCAATGTAAACTCGGTAGGTAGGTTCAAGTATAAAAGTCATACCCCCAACTCTTGTACCAGAATGCAAGGGTTTTGGAAACCCGGTACGGCACAGATTGAGGCAGCGCAGCCCCCCAGTGCTGACTCAGAGCTCTTGCCTTCCACTGACAGTTATGTCTTGTTGCACTAAATTAGACAAGACTCCAGATTGCCGCCGCTTCTCCGTCCCAGGCACTCAGCTCTAGCTGTACAGCTTCAAAGGCTGTTAGTCTTCCGGAAGAGCCAAAAGGCACACCAAGTGGGACCCTAATACAGAAGTAGCTTTTGTTTTTTATTGATGGAACTGTTTCCTGATACCTCCCAAGAACCATAAATTCTTCGAGGTTAGTTCACAAACAGAATAACTCGAATGATAAAGAACAGCAAAAAGTTAAAATAAATGATTGCTATCCAGGAACAAGAGAAGGAGAAAGGTTTGTGCTTCTACTGAAATGTGGACTTGATGAAAACGCTTTGTGGGAGTTCACAAACATGACAGATTTCCAGAGAGCAAGCACCCACTTGCTTCATGTCCGTCTGATAAACTCCAGAAAGGGGGCCATTTTCATGTTCCAGCAAGGAACCAGTAGTGTGGGTTCAGGGTCATAGCCACTGTGCAATTTTTAACCTAACTCAAGAAAAAGAAAATTTACAAAGGGGAACAATGCCATTTTGCAGCTTTTAAGCTTAGTGTTGGTGAAGAATTTGCTAAGTAGCGAACGTGTTAAGCAGGCCACCCAACTCAAGTTTCCGAACGCTAGTGTTGGGGTAGTAAGGCTAACGGTGTCCTGTAGTTAATATAAAGCTACTTTGATCAGACTCCCAGAGTCTCTTAAATTATTTTTTTATATAGTATTTCACAGGGTACAAAAATACAAAGAAAAAAACAGCCTTATATTAAGGCTCTAAATCTAAGACGTTCAAGGAGAAAAAGACTGAAGGAAGAAAAGAGGAGAAAAGGAAGTAGAAAAGGAAAGGGGCTGACTTTGAAGAGACAAGAGTGAGGTAAAAGTACTCATCATCGAAGTACAGAGAACCCTAGAGCAACAGGGCTCACGAAGGGCTATGTGCAACAGTTTCCAGAACTGTATCTGTTAGAACACCAGCCCCTGCTCAGGGTTCTGTGAAGGCCAGAGCTGAAGAACACTCTTGAAAATGGACGGAATGTGCCATTTTCCTTCTCCCCCCCTCTACCACGAGGGAAACAAGAAAAATAAAACAGTCTACATGTTTCTGTGACATCATGCTTCATAATTCGAGCCAAACTCCAGGTTCCAATACCCCCCGTTCCTGTCATCCTGATTCATCTTAGGCAAGTGCAAGACAGCGTGCACACCTGATACTCTACAGTGAACATGTAAATTAAAAACGCAGGCCACTGAGTGGGGGAGGCTGAGCACAGTAGGATTTGTCTTGTTTTAAACAAACAGGAAAACCTCATCGTTCATAGTTACTGGAGGAAGAGCCACAAGGCACCTAGACTTCAGTTTCCGTTTCCACACTCCCCAGGCGTGGTCAGCACAGTTCATTAACAGCTAGGTGGCGCATTCACAGTTATTTTGGTCTTGACTTTTGTCACGTATGTACATTTATCCACATTATTAAGAAGTTGTAGAGTAAGTGCAGGGCAAATCATTTAAAAAAAAAAAAAAAAAAAAAAAAGGATAAACATTCAAGTCGAGATACCCTGAAAAAAAAATACGTGTTGGGATGATGTAAACTTTGTGCAGTTAAGTCCCGCTTCAGGGACAAAATAAATAATACCGTAGGATTCGTAACTGAAGGTAGCTCCCCTGGGCCCCAGGGAGCGGTAGCATGTTTAGGCTGCGGAGAAAGTTCTCATCACAGACTTGCTCAGGGCATGTGGGAAGGCACACCAACACTTACCCTGGTTAAGTGCTAGACAACCCCCTTCAGAAAACCCACAAGGCTCTAGCAGCCTGTTAGGACTGACTTCCGGAAATCAGATGATTCTCCATCAGACCACACCAGCGACAGACACAGTCTTTCCGCTGTGACGCCGAGCACAGCCTGGACTCTAGCTGGTGTTAAATGCATAATTAGTAATAGTTTACTTCCAGGAAAATAGATGACTCATGATACTGGGAAGTTAGCGGGACCAGTGGAGGCGGGACTGCAAGGACAGGAGCTGAGGGCCGGGATGGCCTGTGTTCCATTTAGGACATTTGTCTGGGACACAGGGAACTTCAGAGGCTGAGGCCGCCCCACCCACGGAAGCATCAGGTTAGTCAGGACCGCTGCTAGAGATTTCTAGTCTCCTCTGGGCTGAGCTAGAATTTCGGGATTGGTTCCTTTCTCTTCTCCTAAAGACAGGGTCTCCAAGGCTGCCAGGGGTCTTGAAAAATGTCTCCCGATGTCTCCGTTGGATGCTCTCAGGAGTCACTGGTGCAGGCGACTAGACAGAAAGAAAAGCAGAAAGGAGATGATGTTTCAGGCTCCAAGACGGGAATCTTCCTGCTGGGTGTCACCAAGCTGCCTGTCCTTTCTGCTCTACTTTCCCATCTCTTGCTTCCCATTCATCCGTCCCTTAGCACAATGTGAGAGTTACTCACAGAAGAGCAGCCTACCAGAAGTGTTACAGAAGTGACCAAGGCCTAGAGGCCAGGGCCTTGGGTCCTGCCATCACTAGCTGTGTGACACTAGACAAATTATTTCACCTCCAGGTCCCTCAGTTTCTGCATCCCCTTCAGGGATGAAGATCAACCTCTCAGGGCTAGAAGAATTTAAATGAGAAAATCTTTAGAAAATGGAAAGACATTGGATGTAGGAGAAAACAAGAAACAGAACAGGAGCCTACCACTAGAGGGCCTCTGAAAGACTCTACCTAGCAGTGTATCAAAGCACATACTGAGACTATAACCAAACCTTCGGTAAGTAAAGGGAATCATATGAAAGAAGGGGGAGTTAGTATGACCTGGAGAGGACAGGAGCTCCACAAGGACCAAATATATATGGGCACAGGGGTCTTTTCTGAGACTGATTCTCCAACCAAGGACCATGCATGGCTATAACCTAGAACCTCTGCTCGGATGTAGCCCATGGCAGCTCAGTATCCAAGTGGGTACCTAGTAAGGGGAACAGGGATTATTTCTGACATGAACTCAGTGGCTGGCTCTTTGATCACCCCCCCCCCCAACCCAAGGGAGGAGCAGCCCTGCTAGGCCACAGAGGACTTTGCAGCCACCTGAAGATTCCTGATTAGCTAGGGATAGAAGGGGAGGAGGACCTCCACTATCAGTGGACTTGGAAAGGGGTAGAGAGAAGATGAGGGAGTGAAGGTGGGAATGGGAGGGAATAAGGGAGCGGGATACAAAGTTAATAAACTGTAACTAATATTAAAAAAATAAAAAATTAATAATAAAAAAAAAGAAAATGGAAAGAAAACCTAATTTGTGCTCTGGTCCTTTCTGCCAATATTCATCCTCTGTGTGTGTCCTGTCAGGAAGGGATACATGATCCTGCTA